GATATAGTTAAGATTGGTAAAGAGTTTTAATGTCTTCAGTAAGGAAGCACTGAAGAATAAACTCTCTTAGGGCTGAGTAAGCGTGAAAGTTTGGGGACTAGGAGATGGTGTTTTGACCAAGAGATCCAGTACCTTTCCAGTTCTGCTCAGTGCATTTAGGCTTCTGAAGAACCTGTGAGTATGTGGGAGATGAGTTTCTAGTAGGGGGTTGATGCTTCCACTCTCAGCTTCAAGCTCTGTGTATGGAGATGGGGCCTCACTTCTCCTCACCTCTCATCCTAATGCCAAGTCTCAATTTCAGAATCTCCTCCCCTTGTTCCATCCTTGCCCTGTGAATGGAGTGATGAGCAGGTGACTGAACAGAGCAGAGTGCGGAGCCTGTGTAGGCCTCACCACTCCACGGAGTCTTGCTCTTACTGGGGATTCTACTCCTGGTAAATGTAGACAGGTCTTTCCTGCCCCCTGAGGATGATGTAGAGGGAAGTCTCTCTGGGGTTAGAGTTTCTTAGCAGGTCATCTAGAGCTCTCACTGGACACTGGGCTTTTATCTTTGATATAACTAAGATCAGTCTATATTTGTGAAGATAACAAGTTGGTGCATCATAACAAATGTTACTGAAGTTTAAGAATCAGGTGAACTTGGGACACGCACATGGCTTAGTTACATCGCTGATTCCTGTGTAGTCAACTGCAGTTCGAGACAACCCAGTGGCTTAACACTCATGTCAAGTGCGTGTGTGTACATGTACAAGATCCCGAGAGGAGAATGGAGGAGAAGGAATTACAGCATGGCCATCCCCCTGGGGGGTGATTTCTCACTTTCTGTCTCTGTCTTTCTCCATCTCTCTGGTGAGCATATGTGTTCTATAGCAAAAATCTCTCTCTTAAAAAAAAAAAAAAAAAAAGAATTAGGTGAACTTTAAGTCTTGTGTATAGAATACGAAGTTCTGGATCACTGTGGGTTTACATTCTTTCAGTACCACCATTTTAATTATTTTAATAGTTTAATTTACAACCCTTTTTATATGTGCCATGTACATTTTACTTGTTTTAGCTAAATATATTGAGCATGATTTAGCTGTCAGACCGTGGGCACTATGTAGTCTTCGCCATTTGTCATGGAGTACACTAGCATACTCCTGTATTTTTGAGTGGTGTGTCTGTCTTTTTCCTTTTATTTTACTTGCTGTCATTGTGACAGAGGTTCTCTCTTGATGTCAGTTCTTACTGCTAGCCACCCCTCTTCACTCCTGCTACAGCTATGCCCAGGGAAGCACCCAACCAAAATAAAACTTTCCGAGGTTTGATGGAGTGAGACAGAAGCTCACTATGACTTCTCAAAGTTCCTCTTCACTTGTTTTTTCTCAGATGTGTCCTTAATACGTGAGTTTGGAATTAATCCCCGTTAGATGAAGATTTCTTGTATTGAGGTATTTGTCAAGACTATGAGTAGTAGGAATTGAGTTGATACCAGGTGATTCCATAGAACCTTTTTTTTTTTTTTGAGAGGTTTTTTTCACTATAGGGCGCGTGTGCTCACCAGACAGACAGAGAGAGACAGAGAGACAGAAAGCGAGAAATCACCCCCCAGGGGGGATGGTCATGCTGCAATCCCTTCTTCTCCGTTCTCCTCTCGGGATCTTGGGCACACACGCACACGCGCCCGGCGTGAGTTTTAAGCCACTGGGTCCAGGACACGAACCACGGTCGACTACGTGGGAGTTCAGAGCGACATAGCCATTATGCTAATTGCTGGTTCCCGATTCCATAGAACTTTTGATTTTTTTGTATTATTTCACATTATGAGCAAGTGGCGTGTTAGGCACGCAGAGAATTCCAGTATAGAAAAGTTAGGCTGATAGAAACACAGTCTGAATGCCACCTCATTCCCCTCCCACTCATGGTCACAGACCTCACTGACTGGTCATGGTGTTCTTTTCAGCTGTGATTAGATACAGGCATGCAACTCCCTAGAGCACTCGAGACAGACACTCCTGTTAGCCAGACCAAGCTCAAGATGGAGCCTGGGTCGGGTCGCCAGGAAGGGCCATGTCGGAGCCCATTGCTCCCCTCAGCCATCGTATTGCCCAGAGGTTCTAACTTAGAGGCACGGTGTGCACATAAATCAAACGGGAGCTTCCAAAAGTGACAGGATTTTCTTAGTATCAGAGCCAGCATGAAGAATCTAAACCAAAATGCATTTTTAAAAATGCACAGTGCTTCACCTTCCTGTCAGAGATTGCTGACTGCTGAAGATGACCAAGAAGCTAGTGTGGGCACACCCGCATCGTCACCGGTGTTGACGCTGCAGACCGCCAGCTTCTGAAGTCTGTGTGGAACTCCGAGGTTGACTTAGCCTCAGAATGAACCAAACTGAGGTGATGCCAGCACACGTAAGCTCTCATCACGTCTTCTTTTCTGTCATCACAGTTTTCTCTATCAGGGTATTCTTTCCTTTCTAATTAAAAGAAAGATAGCCCATAGTGAAAAGAGGCCATATGTCACAGGCCATATGGAATGGCCTCCTCTTTTCTCTGCCTGAGGTACTCTCAGAGGAGATGGCCTATTCTAACGGAAAAGTGGCATTTAATATCCAGGACTGTCCTTTCAGGGAACATGAAGGGAGAGAGTAGGGGGTGGCTTTGTGCAGAGGTTTCTTAGGGGAGAACCACTCCAGGCTGTGAAGAGAGATGATGGAAGACCCTCTCCTGGTGGAGCTTCTGGGGGCTTCCAGGGGCTGCCGGGTGTAAGTGTTTCCTAAAGCTGTGAAACATAGTGCCCCGTGGAAAGCAGAGGTGGTTGCGCTGGGGAGCAGGGTGTTCCCTGGGATCAGCGGAACTCCTTCCTGGAAAGATGGGCTCCCAATCATTGGACTTGGACCTGAGTGTAGAGGGGCTCCAGCAGGGAGTTTCTGTGCAGTAAAATCCAGGGCAAGTGGAGGTGAGGAAAGCAAGCAGGAAGGAAGTGCGTCTTGTCATTGGAGGGGACCGCAGAGCAGCCTTCAGGGATCCTATGAAAATGGCCACAAGACTATGGCAGGCAAAGAGCACAGGCCACCCAGGGTAGTACCAGAGGGACAGTCCATTCTAGCCTTTCCCTCCAGCCCGTCTGTAACCTCTGCTGTTGGAAAGGAGCAAAGCCTGTCCTGCTTCTCCTCAGGCCAGCAGCCTGTCAACTATGAATCCCCAATGGGGAGAGGAAGGGAAAACATTGCCTGTGGGTGGAGGTGAGGCTGCCTGGGATCTGACTTGAGGCTGAGTGTGATAATGGTGTAGGACAGTCATGGGCTCTTCTCCAGTGGGTAGTTCCCTCACTGGATCCATTTTAAGGAGATACTGGGCTATAAAACAATGTGTCCTGTTTATACCTCCTGGGGTGGGCTTGTCCAGTGTATCGGAGTGGGATACATTTCAGTGAGGGGGGGTCCGCAGATCAGAGGAACAGTAAAAATGAAATGCTATGCACAGGGAAGTTTAATCCATTCGAAGTTGCTGAAGCTTCAGATTTGAGGATGAGAGTAACAGGAACGAGTCCTGAAAGATGAACAGGTTCAGCTCCTGGAGATGCATGGCAGCAGAGCTCATGCTTCATCCTGCAGTTGGGGAAGTGGAGACCAGCAGTGAGGCTGGGGGCCCTTGGCAGATGGGTCTGGTTATGGTACTTCTGTTCTCAGACACGTCTGGCATCTCAGCATGGAGCCTGACCTATAGTAAAAACTTAGTATTTGAATGAATAAGTAAATGATCCAGAAGTCAGTCTTAAAAATGTAGGCAAGGGGCTGGGAGGTAGCATAGTGGTTAAGGTGCTGGACTCCCACATAGCCGACTGTGGTTTGAGTCCTGGATCTGGCGGCTTGCTCTCTCACTCTCTCTGGTCAAACTAAACAGTAGTAATAAAAATAAATAAATAAATAAATAAATAAAATTTAAAAAATATATATCCCAGTCTGGTGACCTGGTGGTGGTTGGGGGAATCAGATCCACATGTCCAGGTGCAGTTTTAGTCTGAGCCTAGCGGCTTGAGGAATAAGCCAGACCCTCGTGTGTGGGTGCTCAGTCTTGACAGGATGGAGAAATGGAGGGGGAGGGGATTGTGACGTGACCATCCTCCATTAGGGGGTGCTTTCTCTCTTTCTCTCTCTCTCTCTCTCTCTTTGACAAATGATTTGTACCCTCTGGCAATTAAAAAAAAGTAGGCAAGATAAAGGAGCTGCGAATGATATGTGGCCTATTTCTACCACAGTGATCTTTTATCTTAAAGTGATTTTACACATGGACATATGAGTGCTATATATTTAGATCTATAGTTTCGTTAGTACTCTGGTGATTTCGTAGGCCTTAGTGTGTTTCAAAACGTCTTTCATGTAGGTCTTTAACAGAACACATTTTAGCAAAGTGTTTTAAAATTTCACTGTATCCAGATTTTGATTTTTACCTGGTGAGTGGGGAATGATTTCAGATTTTGATAGATTTCATACAGATGAAAAATAGGCCTGGTGTTTAAAACTCTCTTTAAGTCTTATTTCTGTATTTCAGCTATTTTCGCATCTTATGTGAGGGGACTTCAAAAATTTGTGGACAAGTGGAATTAAAATGTCAGTTTATTAAGGTGCAAAAAATTGGAAATCCATGCATAGACTTTTCATAATATGCATTTTCCATGAACTTTTTTGAAGACCTCCCCATAAATACAATCAAAGTTTACATGATAGGAAATCAGCCACAACATAGGAAATATATTTACATGCATAATATGTATATAAATATATTTGTTGTATATATTGTATGTATATACATACAAACTTAATATATACATACATACAAACTTAATATATACATACATACAAACTTAATTTCGATAATGTATTATGTATCATTTTAATGATTTATATTCATGTTTATTACAATAGGTGCTCAGTGATGTCTGTTACATTTTTAAAATGATAATAGTTGAAATATATATATAATATATATACTTTTTTCTTTTTTATTTTTCCTTAGAAGTAAATTTCCTCAGAAAGATTTAGAAATGCTGTTCCATGGAATGAGTGCTGACTTCACAAGTGAGAATTTTTCTGCTGCCTGGTATCTCATCGAGAATCACTCAACCACCAGGTTAGTGGGTGTTGGACCGGGAACTTGCAGCCCAGTACTGGAAACAGGATTATTCAGTAACTTGAGTTTAAGTTGGCTTGGTATACACTAACACTGGTTTTAGGTCTTTGAGCCCTTTGACTTTGGGTGAGTCCATGAACATCTTAGGGTATCAGTTCCCTTATTAGTAAATGACATTGTTAATTACTAGTGTCTCATTTCCTCCTGTCAATTACGTGTGTTTCATTATGCATGCAACTCATTATAACTTTGCAGAATCTTAGCTTGGTACCTGATCTGATGTATGTGTTTTCTATCTAAATAACAAAGAATTTTAAGACCTGGTTTGAAAATACAGAACATACTACCTTCTCTGATCCCCAAAATTAAAGTCGTGTATTCAGATTAAAGTGTTCCTTTGTTCTTGCTAATTACATTTTACCCACTCTATAATAGCAGATTTGTGACATATTTGCAATTGATTAAAATAATTATAATGTGACACATTTGGATAAATGGATGATTTATTGCTTCAAAGATATCTTCTTGGCAAGTCCGCTTATTGGGAAACATTTGGATAAATGGATGATTTATTCCTTCAAAGATATCTTCTTGGCAAGTCCGCTTCTTGAAATATACTTTATTATAAAGAGAAAATGTAAGGAAAAGTTGATACAACCCAAATACATTTCGGTTGATGGAATTTTAAAGCAAGTATCAAAAGGAATTCTTTCATCATAAAGATGGCTCTAATTTGACATTATGTATGTGCTCTTTCAGTTATTACAAGTCAGAATTGATCTTTCTTTTCTTTGTAGGGCTATTGTGATATTCAAGAATAATGTATATTCCAAGTTTTATAGCCATATTTTCTTAGCTCAAGTGGAAATAAAAGTTCTGAAGTACATAGCCAATCTTTCTATTTTTTCTTTGATTTAGATAAAGGGACAAAATATTGTGGTCTTCTCTGTTGTTTATATTGCTGGTGACCCAGAGGTTTTAGGTTATTTTATTAAGTTAAGAGAACTGAGTATTAATATATTAAGGATAACATTATACTCCATGTTCCAATATATCTAAATGAATGTACAGAGGCGTGAGTCCTACCTTTGAATTGCTCATCACTGGATGATGTGTCTTTCTGCAGAAAGACGATGTTCAAAACTCTTTATCTGAAAAAATCATATATACTAGATACAGGCTATAAAAATATCTACACACATACTTTTAGGTGTCTGCTATTTTGGTATTAAGTTCTTAGAGGGCTAGAGAACTCTTTTATAACTGTTGTAATTTAAGCATTCACGATAAATAAAAGGTTTCGGTCTAGGTACAAATTTGAGTCTTTCATTCTTGGTTGATTTCATATTATTTTAACATGTCTGCTTCTTAACGTAGGTTTCAGGATTCCTAGTATTTTTTACACTTAACGAACGATCTTATTCCTTTGTTTGCTCATTAGGAGTCTCAAACATGTGGTTTCTTTATTACATTTCAGTTTCGAACAGCTCAAAACGGCAGTCACCAACCTCAAGAGACAGGCTAATAAGAAGAGTGAAGGCAGTCTTGCCTACGTGAAAGGGGGTCTCAGTACATTCTTTGAAGCACAAGATGCTCTCTCAGGTAAGGGGATCCTCGAAGCCATCTGCTGGGAGCTTCCACAAGGGAAACCCGACACTGTGCTTGCCGAGTGTTTACAGGGTGCGACGTTGGGTCTGTATTTATAAAAGCAGAGATCTAAAATGTGCCATAAATATTTGTTGCAGACTAGGCTGGAATCTCTTTGAAGGCTTGGTACTTTAAATATTTGTCTCTGAGGCTTCTGGTGACCCATGGTACATGTGTGAAGTGGGAAACCGCCTCTCTAGGATACCCAGTCTCCAGGCCTGATAAGAAATTAGAAATTGAACTCCAATGGGTAGAATTCTAGATTTCTTAATGGCATTTTACAGCCATCAGTATCTTATACAAGTGACTGCTTCTTTTTTCTTCTTTGTCTTTGGAGAGGTTTCGCTATAGCGCGCGTGCACTCGCCAGAAAGACAAAGAGAGACAGAGAGATAGAAAGCGAGAAATCATCCCCCGGGGGTCTGGCCACACCACAGTCCCTTCTCCTCCATTCTCCTCTCAGGATCTTGGGCACACATGCACACGCGCCTGGTGTGAGTTTAAGCCACTGGGTCCGGGACTTGAACCATGGTCGACTACATGGGAATCCAGCGACATAGCCATTACGCTAACTGCTGGTCCCGTGACTGCTTCTTTATATGAGACCCGATGTGTGTGCAGCACGGAAAGGATTGATGATAATACATCCTCGTTTTCAGCTTCCTCCTTGCCAGCCCCTGCACATACACAGTTCGCTGTCCCTTGTCTATGTCACCGTCTTCATGTGTGAGAGGAACTGTAGTAAGGGGAAACAGCATGGCTGAGTCATTGCAATGAAAGGTGTTAGATATTTTTAAATGACCTTTAACTAATAAAAATGGAATTCTTGTTTACCTAGTAAAAAGTAAAATGTATTAATGAACGTTAGCCCCAATTTTTTATAAGTTTAAAATGCCTGTAACTAAGTACTTCTGTAGCTAAGTATTTATAACTCTTTTGTTTATTTTTTTGAGAGAGATTTTTACTATAGGGGTGTAGGCACTTGTTGGAGAGAGAGACAGACAGAAAGTGAGAAATTGCCCCCCACGGGGGATGGCCATCCCACAGTCCCTTCTCTTTCATTATCCTCAGGATTTTGGGCACACACACAAACACACACACACACACACACACACACACACACACACGCCTGACATGAGTTTAAGCCACTGGGTCCAGGACTTGAACTGCGATTGACTACATGGAAGTTCAGTGATGGAGAAGTCCAGTGATGTAAGCATTACGCCATCTGCTGGTCCCAGTATTTATAACTCTTAACAGTATTTTAATAGCCCATACAAGAAAGACACTTTTTTTTTTTTAATTAATTTGTGTTTTTAAAGTACAGGTACTTTATTTTTTTCCTTAAGGATTTTGCCATAGGGCTTGTGCACTCACTGCAGAGAGACAGAGAGGGGAAAAGTGAAAACTCACCCCCCAACCCCCTGGAGGGGTTGCCTGCACCACATCCTTTCTCTTCCATTCTCCCCTTAAGATTTGGGGCATATATGCACACACACGTCTGGCTTGATTTTTCAAGCTTCTGGGCCCAGGACTCACACCGTGGTCAGCTGTGTGGGAGTCTAGCACTTTAACCACCACACCACCTGCTGGTCCCACCCTATTGTTATTTTTAAAATCTCTGTCTCATGTGCCAGTCATGCTCAATTGACCCCTGACACGTTAAATGTGTTCCTGACGCGCTCTGTTCTTGTAGGTAAAGGTTAGAGATGAGAATACCTAGAAAGGGAACAGAGGAACCAGGTGGTCTTGAGTCAGTACTCCGTGTCTGTGTTTCTCAGTGTGTGTTCCGCTTTTCTTTTTTCTTATCTCCCTCTCTTCTTTTCTTTCCTGCTCTTCCTTTCCCACCCCCTCCCCTCCCCTCCCTCCCTCCCTCCCTTCCTTCTTCCTTCCTTCCGTCTTTCTTTTTTTTCGAAGAGGTTTTTGCTATAGGGTGCTTGCGCTCGCCAGACAGACAGAGACAGACAGAGATACAGAAAGCGAGAAATCACCCCCCAAAGGGGGATGACCATGCCACAATCCCTTCTCCTCCATTCTCCTCCCGGGATCTTGGGCACGCAAACACACATGCCCGGCGTGAGTTTTAAGCCACTGGGTCTGGGACGCGAACTGCAGTCGACTACATGGGAGTCCAGTGACATAGCCCTTAGGCTAACTGCTGGTCCCCATCCATCTTTCTTTTTGCCAGAGGGCTTGGGTGCTTGCCAGAGATGGAGGACAGGAGGACGCACCTCCTAAGGGAGTATAGTATGCTGTAATCTTTTCTCCTCCATTTTTTTTCATCCTATTGCCATGCGGGGCATTCGTGCACACATACCCAATGTGTTTTTAAAGCCGCTGGGGCTAGTATTCAGCCATGTGGGATATACCTCTGTTAGGCAGCAGGGCTGGCCTTATTTTTGCTTTTCTGTTATGAACATTTTCAAACATGCTAAAAGTAGAGATGAAAATATAATTAACCTCCCATATATCTGTCACTTACAGTTAACAATTACTAATATTTTTCCATACTAACTTTATTGCTGTATTTTTGAGATAGGTTTGTGTTATGCTGATATATTTTATTTATTCCTTTTTTTTTTTTTTTTTGGAGAGTTTTTGGCTATAGGGCGTGTGCACTCGCCAGAAAGACAGAGAGAGACAGAGAGACAGAAAGTGAGAAATCACCCCCCACGGGGGATGGCCATGCTGCAATCCCTTCTTCTTCATTCTCCTCTCAGGATCTTGGGCATGCACGCACACGCACCTGGTGTGAGTTTAAGCCACCGGGTCCGGGACTCGAATTGTGATCGACTACATGGGAGTCCAGCGACATAGCCATTCCGCTAAGTGCTGGTCTCTATTCATTTTTTTAAAGAGAGTAGCTTTTTATAGAGTCTGTGTACTCACTGGAGAGACAGCAAGAGGTAGAGACAGAAAACTTGAAATTGCTCCCCCGGGGGAATGGACATGGCGTGATTCCTTCTCCTCCATTCTCCTCTTGGGATTTTGGACACACATGCACACCCTCCTCGTATGAATTTCAAGTCTCCTTATCTGTGACTTGTCCATGTGATAATTCAGCAATGTACCCATTACACCATCTGCTGGTCCCAATTGCTGATAGATTTTAAAGCAATCTCGAGCAGTGTGACATTTCTCTCCTGCGTACCTTAGTGTGAACCACAACCCCACTACTAGTTATGTGTCTTAAAAGGAAGTCAGTGTGCCGTGGAGACAACCTGCATCTTAATGTTTGTCGTAGCACTATTCACAGGAGGCAGGCTATGGAGTCTGTCCATGTGTCTGTGAGCTAACTGATGGATAAGGAAAATGTGTGTACACACACACACACACACACACACATGATGGATAAGAAAAATGTGTACACACACACACACACACACACTGAGTTACTATTCAGCCATTGAAAAGAATGAAGTCATTTTATTCGAGATTCCACGGGCAGGCCTGGAGGACATTGTGTAAAGCAGTATAAGCCAGGCACAGACTGTTTTTAAATACCTGTCAGCTTTCTGAAACTGTGCCAGAGATACAAAAAGGAGGGGAAGGCATCTTCGCTCAGGGTGTACCACTTGATAGATACATTATCAATGCCTGATGAATCACATGATTGAAATTGAGGTCATTTTTAATAACATGACAGAGAAATCTGCCTCCTTGATTTTTGGTTCTGTGAACTTTTTCTTTATATGATCAGTATGTTTTCTCTGTGAATTTTGCTGACTTGAGTTTGCTTGATATTAATAAGACAGTTTAACTGCAAAGTTAGGAGCAGTTCCTGAGGTTTGCTAATTTGCTAAAAGAACTCAAAGAACTCATTAAAAGCTGTTGCACTCGCAGTTATGGTTTCTGACAGGGAAGAGAGACAGACTGCAGTCAGCCAGGGAAGGGCTGTGTCGGGCAGGGTCTAGGAGAGTCCCCTGTGGGGATTCCAGTTACTGTCTCCCGGTGGGATCACCGACAGCCGTGGCTTTCCTGGAACTGTGTGTGACTGTTTCATCCCCAGATCTGGTCTGTCTTTTTCTGTCCATCCCAATCAGTTATGCAGTTAGTAGATGTTTTCATCTTTAAGTTTTTGTTATTGTCTGTTTTTTTTTTTTTTCCCAGTGTGTACTCACAGGTATGGTAATTAGACTTGACAAGAAGTGTGTCTAGCTCTAACTTGCCTACTGGCGTGGTTAGTGATTTTCTTTCTTTCTTTTTTTTTTAAATTGTATTCTGCAAAAATGTTCCCAGCATTGTTCACTTTCTCATGGCTGTGGAGAGCAGCCAATCTGAAAACATGTGATTAAAACATGTGACCTGTAGACACAGGCAGATATGCGCTTTTGTAAGCGACTCTAGCAGGGCTGAGAAGCATCTACATACTAAAGCAATACCTGCCTGTTGTCAATGGCTGTCTTCCTGTTGTTGATACCCAATACTCCAGTACTGCCCAGTATCAGGCTAAAGGAAGTCACATGCATTTATCAGATTGTCCCCCCAAAAAGATCTGAGAAATTACTTGGCCCCAGTCATTTTCACATCTTCAGACAATTTACATCCCAAAACAACTGACTTTGCATTCTGATTTCTCCTCCCTTATTCTCTTTGCATTCCACTTCCTTCTTCCTCATTCCTTTTGCATCCCATTTCCCCTTCCCCCATTTTCTGTCCTTTAACAGAATAAACCTGAGGCTGGTTCAGGTCGCAACTTCTCAGTCAGAGAAGCTGTACCCACCCAACCCTGACTTTTCTATACTTGTGTGTCTTTGTGTGTTTGTTACTGCGTCTGTTTCTAATCCACAGCCTTCCCCACTCAGAGAAACGTGTTCATGCCAAGCTGGTCCCGGCACATGGCTGCCACTCTGTGTCCTTCTGGTACCTGGAAGTCTTGGCATGCAGCAAGGTATTAGCAGCTGCTGTTCCCACCCATCCTCATGGGTCCATGTAGTGTTTGTGGAGCTTCCTATA